CTCAGCTTTGTTTTTTTTTTTTTTATTGTAAAGAATTGGTGAGCTGATTTGAGTTTGTTTGTTTACACCTTAGTAAATTTCAGTCTAATTTAATATTTTTTTGGAAATTGTTTATAAACATTTTAAATATAATGTTTAAAGTGCATTTTAAAAATATTTGATGGAATATAATTTATATATAAGTTCTTTTTTTTGATAATTTTTTAAATATTGATAATAGCTTTAAATTAAATTATTAGTGGCGTGGGTAAAAATTTGTGACAGAATAATTACCTTATCATTGTGGTTAGAAAATTTAATAAGTAGGATTATTTGAAGGTTGATTAGTCGAACTTGGAGGCATGTTAATTGTTCTTACTGAATTTTTATCATCTTTTAAACGAGAAAATTTAAGGTAAGCATCATACCCATATAATAATGTAGCACAAAATCCAAAAAACTGAAAAAAAAAAAATCATAATAATTTTGTTATTTTTAAATTTGTTATGCTGTCTCTAAAATTAATAATTTTTATTTTATTTACTTACAGCAGCTGCTGCAAATGCTTCACCAGATTCTTTGGAACCATAATCGGCAGCTAAAGATGCAGCGATTAAATAAAATAAAGTCCATATTGCACAAAAAACAAATTCAACTTTGACCCATGGAATTCTAGTGAAGAGTTCTTGTACATGAAAGAGATAGAGAGCTAACATGATGCTAGAAAACCAAAAACCACCCATTGCTACAGTATTAAACCAATTAGCTCTAGAGAAATATTTCCATGGAGAACTTAAAATACAAATAAATCCCAAGAGATTCAAGGCCTGAAAAAATTAAGAGGTAAGATAAGTAATTTTGTTTTAGCTTCATAATTTAAAATAAAATTAATCAATACAGTAAAGTTCTTTGATTTTTAAATGTGTAATTAATAATTTATTTATTAGCTTACAATTTCTCCACATTTAATTCTTCCATCTAAAGTATGTAGGTAAGACAGATCTAAATGTATAGTTGATTTTGAACTTCGTTCTGACGGTTGAACTACGGTTACATGACTATTTGGAAAACCTTGTTCAGCCATGTTTTAAATTTTGTTTAAATTTTAAATTTTTTTTTTAATATGACTTCATAAATTGCAACTAAAAAAAAAAAATTTGATTAATTTAAATGTAAAAATTGATAATTTTATATGACGTTAAAAATCTGAATGGTATGATTTTTATCAAATAATGTATTTTAAACATAAATTTTTTTAAAT